CAGGAGGGTAGAGAGGAATCGGGTTTATAGGAGAAGAATCTTTTCTTCCCTAATACCGAGGACCTGTCCCCATCTAGGGGTACTTGGCTGGTATCCACAGAACACTGAGGACAACAGATATTGAGCCCCAACTCAGGTCTGAGCATGGCTCTGAGCTAATGTACCAAGTCCATCATCTGAAGCTCAGAGAAAAGCAACAGGGCTTGGGGGACTTCTCCTTGTGCAGCAAAGAAGCCATACACGCAGATACGTTGCATTACCAGGTAACTAATAAGGCTGTTTGTGTTCTCTCATTGGGAGGAGGATGGGTGACTCCTGAGAATTCTCTTATCCCTGCTTTTTGTTTCTGGATAATAAAGACAATCAACAAAGTTTCCTAAGGCTCCCTGGTCTCAGCCTGCACCCTGTGGGTGTAAGAAAGGCCTTGAGGACAGTTTTCAGTTGACATACAATGTCCCAGTACATACATGCACCTGGGATCTGAGGCCTGCTACAGAGAAAACCATAGGAATTGCGCAAATCTTGTACTGAAAGCAGATTAAAGCTGGAAGGGACCTTGAAGGTGATGCAGCCCAAACCCACATTTTTGCAGACGAGACAACCAGGTCTCAGCAGCAGCTGACCTGGAGCTAGACTCAAGAACTCTGACTCTAACTTTGATAGCAACTAGGGACTGGGAGCTGGCTCTGAAGCATAAACGCCTGGGTTCAAATTCTGGACTCCACCACTGACTAGCTGTGCAACCATAGGCAAGTCACATAACCAGTCAGTGCCTCAGTTTCATCTGTAAAAACAAGGTTTTATTTCTTACCTCACACCATACACAAAAATTACCTTAAAGGGTATTACAGACTTAAATGCAAGAGCTAAAAGTATAAAATTCTCAGAAGAAAACACAGGAGTAAATCTTTATGACCTTAAGTTAGGCAATGATTTCTTAGATACAACATCAAAAGCATAATCCATAAAAGAAAAAATTTATTCATTGGACTTCATCAAACTTTAAAACATTTTTGTGTTTCATAAGACACCACAAAGAAAGTGAAAAGAAAATCCAGGATTGAAGAAAATAGTTGTGAGCTCCATATCTGGTTTAAAAAAAAAAAAAAGCCCATTGCCATGGAGTCGATTCTGACTCATAGCAACCCTATAAGACAGAGTAGAATTGCCCCATAGGGTTCCAAGGCTGTAATCTTTAAAGGAGCAGAATGCCACATCTTTCTCCCGCTGAGAGGCTGGTGTGTCTGAACTGCTGACTTTCGGTTAGCAGCTGAGTGCTTAACCACTGCGCCACCAGGGTTCCTTTGTGTCTGTTAAGGGACTTGTATAAAGAACTCTTACCATTCAATAATAAAAAGAAAAATAATCTAATTTAAAAATGAGCAAAAGATTTGAATAAACATTACTCCAGAGATGATATATGAATAGCCAATAAGCATACAAAAGATGCTCAACATCATTAGTCATTAGGGAAATGCAAATCAAAACCACAGTAAGATATTACTTCAACCCTACTAGAAGGAGGACAGTAAAAAAGACAGTAACAAGTGCTGGCAAGGATGTGGAGAAATTTGGAACCTCCTACGTTACTGTTGAGAGTGTAAAATGGTGCAACCACTTTGGAAAACAGTTTGGCAGTTTCTTAAATGTTAAAGAATTACCATATGACCCAGAAATTCCATTCCTAGGTATATTCCAAAGACAAATGAAAACAAATGTGCACACAAAAACTTATACATGAATGTTCATAGCAGCATTACTCATAATAGTCCAAAAGTGGAAACAACAAATGTCCACCAACTGACGAATGGATAAATAAAATGTGGTAAACCCATACAGTGGAATATTCTTCATCCATAAAAAGGAATAAAGTAGTGATACACACTACAACATGAATGAACTTTGAAAACATTAAGCTAAGTGAAAGAAGCTAGTCACAAAGCCCATCGTATTGTATGATTCCATTTATATGAAATGTCCAGAATAGGTAAATCTATAGACAGAAAGTAGATTAGTGGTTGCCTAGGGCTAGGGGGTGAGGACAATCAAGGGTGGGGGAAATGGGGAGTGACTGTTAACAGATACAAGGTTTCTTTTGGGGATGATGAGTATGTTCTAAAATTAGATCATGGTGATCATTACAAAACTGTAAATACACTAAGACCATTGTTTTGTCCACTTAAAAAGGGTGAGCCTTATGGTATGTAAATTATATTTCAATGAAGCCATTTTAAAAGTGGCGTTATAATGGTATCTCAAAGGGTCGTTCTGGGGATTTACATGAGTTAATACATATAAATGTGTTTAGAACAGTTCCTGTTGTAGACCAAGTATTCAGTAAGATTTTTTAAAAAAACTCACTGCCCTCCAATCGATTCTAACTCATAGGACCCTATAGGACAGCGTAGAACTGCCCCATAGGGTTTCCAAGGAGCAGCTGGTGGATTCAAACTGCCAACATTTTGGTTAGCAGCAGAACGCTTAACAATGCGCCACCAGGGCTCCTCCTTCAATAAGATAGTGCTTATTATTTCCCACTCTCTAGGTAGAAAGGAATAAATTGTGTTAACTTTTCTTCCCTGAAGGGATAATAAAGTTAAAATAGTCCATTCATAAGTATAGCATGACATATTTGCATCATTTAGAAAAGCACAAATCAATACGGTATCATTTCTGCGGTAGGTATATAAATGTATGTAAAAGTATAAAACGAGATCATATTGGGGGTTACCTTTGGGTGGGGGGAAGGGGAAGTAGGGATGCTGGCCAAAGGGACATTAACCCTGTCTGTAATGTTCATCTTGATAAAATTTCAGAACACTGGGAATAAGGTTCCCTGTCCTTTCCTTAACCCTGTCCACAGTGCAGTTCACAGTTCCTACATCAGCTCTTTTCAGAGTCTGTGCTGAGCGCACCTGCTGTACTCCTAGAAGAAACACTTAAAAAAAACACGTTTAATTGTTCTGGTGGTTCCTACATTCTAATGTGCTTTTTCCTCTATTATCAACTCTGTTGTTGTTAGCTGCGGTCAAGTCTGCCTGTCTGGTCCTGCACCATCCCCATGATCGATTACTGATCAGATAGTTGTGATCTGTAGGGTTTTCATTGGCTGATTTTCGGGAGTAGATCGCCGTTCTTCCTAGTCCACCTTAGTCTGGAACCTCCACTGAAAGCTGTTCAGCATCACAGCAACACACAAATCTCCAATGACAGACCAGTGGTGGCTGCGCATGAGGCGCATTGGCCAGGAATCCAGCCGGGTTCTCAGGAGTGGAAGGCGAGAATTCTACCACTGAACCCCCAGACAGTGTCAATTTACTATGCACTATGAAAAAAAGAAAAGCAATTTCACTTATTGGCAGCCATGGCCAGGCTTAGGGTGAAGTGAGCTGAAGTGCTTGTCTCAAGCACAGAATTTTAAAAGAATCCAAGAAAACTCAGTAATCAAGATATTATTTTAATGCAATATTTTTAAAAATCAAAATTAATGAAAGTTCATGATGAACAAAATTATCGGTATGTTAGAGACAGGCTATTACTGATTTCTCCTTTTGTCTCTGGCTCAACATGACTTGGCATGTTATTGAGCCCATCTTCATTTAACATTTTTCTATTTTGTCCATCATGACATTGTTTTTTGTATTCGTTTTTGTGACCGTAATACCCCACAGCATGTTTTCTCCTTTTCAAAATGGACAAGTGACGGCTTGACATAACTAACGCCATAATGAACCTGTGAGGTGGTTTTTTTTTTTTTTTTGCCTTCTCCCTTTTCGCATACCTTCGTTAATGACTCTGTTTTATGACTTAGGATCCCCCACAGGAAGATTAGAGCCCAGATGTCAGAGATGTTTATCTTTAGCCTGATAAGGAAATGTCCGGTTCCCTATCTCTTTAGTATGATAAAGAGTCTCTTGTAATTATGTTGGAGTGAATAACACAACTTTTGTAAAAATCATATATAAGCTCTAATGTAAAAATGCCTTTTGGGACTCCCTAAGGACAGCCTGTGTTGCTGTAGGATCCCCGGTGGTGTACACTGCCTAAATTAAAACTTTCTCACTCTTTCTGACTTAGGAGTGTGTTTCTTGGCTCAACTGCTCCAGGGCACAGACCCTATTCGGGTAACATTTTGATTTTTTGAAACATTGCATTAAAGTATTATCTTGGTTCCTGAGGTTTTTTTGGCGCCCCCTTAAATTTTGCTCCTGAAGCACTTCACCTTTGCTTGTCCCAGCCAGCCCGTGTACTTCCCATATTCCCTCCATCTGAATTTTTCTTAGTTATCATTTGTAATGCTGCTGACGGTTTTTTATCACTTTGGAGTTCATTTTCCTTCACCTTTTTACAGTATGTCTCCTGTTTTGAAAGATGAAGAGTTTACTGTAATTTTTACTTTGTTGAGATTGAAACGTTTTGCTCTGTTCGGTACCCCAAAGTGAAACTTTGTGTAAAGCGAATAAACTTTAAAGACTTGGCTAACTCTCTAAATGCTTCCCCATTCTGCAATTACCCCCCTACCCCCGGGCCAGCCTGGGCCTAGCTCGTGGGAGGTGTAACCAATTAGCTCCCCAATTATCTGGCCCTAAGGGGGAGGGGTTACTACCCAGGAGCAGGCAACCTGGGAGGTCAGTTCTATGCCCCCCGCCCCCACCAAACCTTACAGAGGAAGAAACAAGTTTACTTCCACGGAAGCAAGTCTCCCTGGTTCTCTCGGTCTTGCCAGCCCCAGCTCTCAAAATTTAAGTCTGGAGTCACCATGACTCAACAGATCAGAGCCTAAACAGCCACGGACCTCCGCGCATTGCACCCGCATCGTCCCCCGGCCCCCCGCTCCACACCCCCGACCCCCGGGAACTTTCTTGAGTTCCACGTACCCTACTCCATCCACCCGACTCTTGGAGTCTACTACCCCGCGCCCCAAGGCCTGACTATCCGGCCCCGCCCTTTCTGGCCGCCCAGCACAACTGGGCTGGGCCGGGCAGCGTATAAAGGAGCCAGCGCTCAAGACGCAGCGCCAGCGACGCATTCCTACCAGGCGTCGGCACCGCCGCCCTAGGACTTCGCCGCGCCAGATCGCACCAGCAGCTTGGCCAATCAGCGCTCGCGAACTGCGCCTTCTCAGAGCTGCGGCAGCCATGGCTGGTGAGTGCAGAGGGGGGCAGGACGCTGTCTCCCTCGATCTACGGGCGCCGCCAGGGTTTTCGCTAGACTGGGAGGATGCCGGCGCTAGCCCTTTTTCGTTTGGAGAAGCACTTAAAGGAGGTTGCAAGTGTAGGAAAGGAGCCCTGGTGGCGCAGCGCCTAAGCGCTCGGCTGCTAATCTGGTGGTTTGCGCTCACCATATTTCCTGGGGAGAAAGATGTGGCAATCATCTTCGTAAAGACTGACAGCCTTGGAAACCCTCTGGGGGCAGTTCTGCTCTGTCGTATAGGCTCACTATGAGTTGGAATCGATTGGAGGGCAGTGGGTTTGGGTTTGTTTTTTGTTTTTTTTTTTGGCACCTGTAGTCGATTGGCCCTGGTTTTTGTTCCTAGATTTAAAACGGAAAAAGTGAAGGGATTAGGGCCCCAGGATGAACCCTGACCACACTCCGGGAGAGGGGACGCTTCTATTTCCACCGCAGAGTCACGGATCCACCACCACCGCACACCTATGAATTCTGGAGGGCGTTTAAGAGAGATCTGACCTTTGAAGCAAAGATTCCCTCTGAAACAGAGGTCGCAAACTGACCTCAAAAGACAGATCGGCCCATTGTCACATCTTGTTTGGTCTCATAGTATTTAAAACTTTTTTGAATAAGTTGCAAATATTTAAAATAAAAAACAATTTCACTTAAAAATGTGGATTCCAGGCTTATGGGGGGAAATTGGAAAATCTGGCGATTAGTGGGCTGAAGCTAGGAAAGCTGCCCCCTTTGGTTTGCTAGAGACATCCACTCCCAGGTTGCCTGGCCCAGGAGGCATTTGAGTTTGTGAATCTGATCTCGTATAGGGTCCATTTCTTCTCTAAGGAGGGACTGATGCTCACGATCCATCATCACCTGGGGGAAGCTTAGCGGTCACCACCACTTTATCTGAAGCATAAATGGTCTCTGAAGCATTCTTGCAATTTCAACATGTGCAAGGGCAGGGAGCTCTGTTTCTGGGAGGGCCTCACTTTCGAATCTGGATAGGGATAAGGTTTAGAAAGCTATTTCTTCAACTCAGGCAGAACTCTTATCTTTCTGTAGTTTCCTTCTCTCTGATCCTAATTCTGCCTTTTGGAAACACATAGAGTCTCATGTTGCTAAAAGTAAGTGGGGGAAGAGGTTGCTGTTGCACTTGACAAATTACAGTTGTTAATCTCTGAGAAAAGGGCTGAGCCGGGGATTGCTTGGCCTAGAACAGAAGCATCTGGGAGAGACTGCAGTGAAGGGGATTTTGACAGTTAATAAGACTTCGCAAATGCATGCTAGCTGCTGTTTCTCTACTTTATTCTTCAGCTGCCTTGAGAGGCACCAGCACCCCCTCCTCCAGAAACTATTTCTTGATTTTCCCGTTTTACAGAATGTTCTGTATTTATGTGTAACTTAAACAAAAAGGTGTGGAGTTAATGAGGGAGAGTAGGCAGATTTGGAGCTTGTATAACTAGTTTTTAGCTCTACCCAGCTAACCAAATCTAGAGGTTAACTGAAACATTCAGAGCATTTATTTGCAACACATAGATGCATCTGACTGTCACGAATATTCCCTTGAGGATTCAAATGAGACCAGAGGGCAGAGGCAGAACGCATGAAACTGATTTGAGGGTCTGGCTTTATTACATTTCTTACAGGTTTTCCTTTATTGCTTGCTTTTCCTGCCAAAAAGATTGCATGATTAATCTTTACTGCTAAAGATATCTCCGCATGCTCTCCAATAAAACGATGTACTACATACTACAGTTTTATCTTCTTTTGTTACTAAGTTCTCCTATGTCGGCCTTCAGTGAAACTATGCAGCTTGACCCAAGTCCAGTTTAATTTGGAAGGCTATTAAGAACTCTTGGTTTCAGACTGGCCTGCAGTTGAAGACAGAGAGTAGTAGGAATGTTGGAGCACCAGATGAGGACAGAGGTCAGCTCCCAGGGAACTGTCAGGATGCTTGGGCCATCAAAATTTACATTTCACAAGGACAGAGCTTTATGTATCTTTTGTACGCTGATGTAGCCAAGAACAGTGCCTGGCATATAGTAGGTGCTCAGTAAACAGTATGGGATGAATGGCAGAAAGACTAAGGCTGGAGCAGAGTAGCCGCCAAGAAGATCCACTAGTGAGAACATTAGCATTTCAGGGGGTATAAAGAGTTGAATTATGTAGACATAGAATGGTGGGGAAAGGAAGGCATGAGGGCTTTCAGATACACAGAGAAGTGAAAATGAACTGGGAGCATATTTTATAGGGCCTAAAATCTGATTATAGGTCCCTAAGTGGTGCAAACAATTTGCACTCAACTGATAACCTTAAAGTTGGCAGTTTGAACCCGCCTAGTGGTACCATGGAAGAAAAGGACTGGCGATCTGCTTCCATTAAGATTACAGCCAAGAAAACCTTATGGAGGAGTTCTATTCTGTAACATATAGGGTCCACACAAATTGACTCAAGAGCAACAAACAAGAAGATCTGATAGCAAACCAGTGCTGGGGAGAGATGGATTAACAAAGACGTGCTAAGCCTTTGTGAGCGGCAGTGTGCTCAGCTGTGAAGAAGACAAAGCTATGTTAGATGTGATAGCTTCCGATAGGTCAGTGACATACATGACAAGCAGAAATGAATGTCAAACTAGAGGTACTTGTAATAATCCCATTTGTCTTTCAAGATTCAGCTCAAATAGCAGTTCCTTCTGAAGGCCTACCCTAATCTGCCTGCTATGAAGCCAGCCATTTCCTTGTGAACTTTGTTCCCTTACCTACTATCATGCTAATGTCATTCCACTCTGGGTAGTTATCTGTGTATGTGCCTTATCTCCTCTGTTAGTGTAAGTTCTCTGAAAGTCTAACTTGTCCCAGGTCATGTAGCTAGTCAAATAGTAGGACAGGGACTGAACCCAGGCCTGTTTGGTTCCAAGTCCAGAAAACTCAGGTTTGTTCATGAAAAATGATCTCAACTAGTGATACGGGATTATTAAGTTTTGGTAGTATAATTTCTCCTGATTTACCCTTTATTCTGGCAAATAAGCATGAATGTTGTTAATGGCTTGTCTATAGCCTTTGCTCATTTTTCTGTTGGATTGTTTTCAGGAATCTGTATGTTCCATGGAGTCCCTGAGTGGTGCAAATGGTTAACACGTGTGCACTGCAGAAGAAAGGCCTGGTGATCTGCTTCCAATAAGTCAGCCATTGAAAACCCTATGGAGCACAGTTCTACTCTGACACATACAGGGTTGCCATGAGTTGGAATCAACTCATTGGCAACTTTTTTTTTTCCTCCAGATATGGCATTTTGTTCATTATATTCATTGCAAATATATTCTTCCCGTTTATCCCTTGTCTTACTTTTTTTGTTTTTCATGTTAACAGGCATGCCTATATCTAATTCAAATAGTAAGCTTGTTAAGGCAAGGGATGGGTTTCCTGCCTTTCTCATTTCCTGAAGTGCCTTTATAGTTTTACTGCTTAGGAAATGTTTACTGAGTAAATCAAGAGAATAAAAAATAACAAAGCAGTAGTCAGCAAACACTGACATGATTAATACAGAGGAAAGTTACAAAGAAAATACATGTCAGAGCTTAATATTACCCTGTATCTCCTAAAAATGTTAAACCCATGAGTAAGAAAGGGGGCAAGAATTTGTTCAGGCAGCCTCAGGAGTCTCTTTCCATTTTCCCAGGCCCTCCAAAGCAGATAAATTACTTCCATAGCATTTATAACATTGTCAAACTCATATTCCACTGAATCTTAGTTTTTTTTTTATTTTTTCCCATACAAAAATTTATACATACATTGTTATGTGACTCTAATTGCTTTCCCCATACTGTTACAGCACACTCTTTTCCACCGCTGATTCCCCATGTCCATTCAACCAGCTCCTAACCCTCTCTGCCTTCTCATCTCACCTCCAGACAGAAGCTGCCCGTTTAGTCTCTTGTATCTACTTGAGCTAAGAGGCACACTCCTCTTGAGTATCACTTTATGTCCCATAGTTCAGTCCAATCCCTTTCTGAAGAGTTGGCCTCGGAAATTGTTTTAGTTCTGGGCTGGTAGAGAATCCAGGAGCCATGCTTTCCGGGGTTCCTCCAGTCTCAGACCATTAAGTCTGGTCTTCTTACCAGAATTTGAGTTCTGCACCCCACCTTTCTCCTGCTCCATCCAGGACCCTCTGTTGTGTTCCCTGTCAGGGCGGTCATTGGTGGTAGCCAGGCACCATCTAGTTCTTCTGGTCTCAGGCTGATGCAGTCTCTGGTTTATGTGGCCCTTTCTGACTCTTGGGCTAATGCTTTCCTTGTGTCTTTGGTGTTCTTCATTCTCCTTTACTCCAGGTGGTTGGGACCGATTGATGCATCTTAGAAGGCCACTTGCAAGCTTTTAAGACCCCAGATGACACTCACCAAAGTAGGATGCAGAACATTTTCTTAATAAGCTTTGTTATACCAGTTGACCTAGATGTCCCCTGAAAGCATGGTTCCCAGACCCCTACCCCTGCTACTCTGTCCTTCAAAGTGTTTGTATTCAGGAAACTTCTTAGCTTTGGTTTAGTCCAGTTGTGCTGACTTCCCCGGTAGTGTGTGCTGTCCTTCCCTT